AGATCAACATTGGAGAATTAACCATGTCGGATGGTTTCGAGCCCTCTCCAAGGCCCAAAATGCACCCTTCTTCCAGGGCCCCCTCTTCCGGGTGATTAAGTCTTTTAATGGCCCTTTGATATTTACTATCCCGGGAAGGCCTTAGCTCACCCCCCGTTCAAGTCTTCCCTGAGAAGGGGGAAATAGGATGCGCCACGGTGGACGATCCCTCTTCTATTTCTTTTAATGGGCATCTTTTAGTCCCAAATCAGTTTGACGGCACCAGCTGATTCCCCGATACTGGTCAAACCTCATGGGCCCGTGTAAGTACGGTTCGAACCTTCTTCCAGGTCCAGCCTTCTTGCAGGCATACCCTCTTCCGGGCCCCTCTTCCGGGTTTATTATTTTTTTATTTTATACTGAGCAAGACCGGTGTAGTAACCGGCGTGCCAGGTCCGGGCCTGTGTCCCAGTCTTCCAAAACTTTGTGAAACTCCAAATGTATGATGGGCCCACCAAAACCCACTTTGCACGGAGTATAATTTTGTGGAGCAAAAATTGTGCCTTTGATCCTCATTGACAGCTGCACAAGACCATCAATTATTTGAGAGAGGCCCTCATTGCCATGTGAATTCCACGAACTTTCCACCACATATTCAAATTTTGGTGCATCCCCTTTCTCATTAAATAATGGTGGGCCCATATCATTAGCCCATCACGTGCATCATCTCAACTTGTCTACTTTCCTTTTAACCCTTTGCACTTAGACTTTTTGAGAGTAGAATCATCTTGCTACTATTGTCTTCTGGGAGAACTGGTACCACGTCAATCAGCATCAACACCTTCGAAGGACATTATTGGAGCCAGAGCCACGGCTGGAAGCAACCTGGGATGAGATTCGGCGGAACCACGACCTCCGAAGGGCGGTTATGGTGGCCTTGTTCTTCGGAAACGCAAACAGTAGCGGGAGCAGTTTACGCCAGCTCCGAACGGCCCTCATGATGACACTACTATAGTCTATAAAGCCAGTTGCGGAGCATGGTCTTGTTCTCCGAGGCGGGGCGGAGTGACGGCATCAAATTGAGTTCGGCGGCGTGGGGTTGCTGGACCAACTGCCTTAGTGGCAGCGAATTCAAATGATGACCGATAAAGCCTTGAGCCTCGCTGCTTTTGTGAATACTTGCCGGATTCTAGGTGATGAGCAGAAGGTATTCATTGGTGGAGGGTGACAGATGGAGTCGCCTTTCTCAATGCTCCTCGCGAGTTGCAACAAATCTCCAAGTGACCGATTTCGAAATCTCCTTCTTCACCAGGTGGTGGTGGAAGGTCCCTCCAAAATTGATGGCGGTCAATCGGAATAGTAGTGGCGATGGCGGGTTTGGGGCCGCGGCTGCACTTTGTGGCGGTGGTGACGGACTCCCGTGGTAGTGACACTTGTCTTTGGTGGCGAACTTTAGGGACGACGGCGTGGCTGCGCTGTTCTCATGGCTTCAACGGCAACTGTAGATTTTAGCAACCCCGTCTATCCACGCTCTTAGTTGTGGGGGTGTTGATGTAGATCAAAATCTGTCGAATGGGTTTTAGTTTCCGTAGGCGTCCATAGTTTCCGTCAATGATGATGCTTTTGGTGGCGACGAGGATAACCAACCCTCAAGCATAATGGCCGGCGGCGCCTAGATCTCGAGCGAAGTGACGGAGATGAATCGTAGCAGTGACAAAACTGTCTGCTACAACGATCGATATATAATAGCTCTGGCCGGCCCCAAGACAACCACCGTGACAGATTTCAACGGCAGGTCCCGATGGCTCCGTCGATGACTACCAGCTTCCGAAGATTTTGTATAGTTGAAGATTTTGTGGCTTCCAACGACCGGCTGCGATACAACCGCAGCGTCGCTTCGACGGCGGCTGATTCTGGAAACAACGGACCAGCCGCGTTTCAAACTGCTTCTTATTTTCTCACTTCAACAAGACATGGCTATTTGTCTGGGTCCCACGGGTGGCGCCAAAATGATGGTGTAAATTATCGACCGGTATATCGTTTTTAACCGGGCTAAAACGATAAAATAGTCTAAAAAATACACCAAACTATAAATACGGGGATTTTTACGTGGAAACCCAAATCGGGAGAAAACCACGGGCCTTTTTTGGCGGTACCTTGCCAATAGGGGATTTTTATTAATATTGGGGGTGTGTACATGGTACAAGAATTGGGCTCGAAAGCCATTAAATGGAAGCTATGGAAGCTTCTTTGAAGAAAATATACACTATACATTATTTCTAGAGAGAATGAGTAAGTTGCAGGGAAGGAGAGTGTGAGAGAGGCCTCCTCAACCTAGAGGGGGAGCCCTCCTTTTATAGGGGTGGAGGGAAGCATATTCGGGGAATATTCTCTTATTCCCTCATTTTATTAAACAGGTCCGGTTTGACTGTTCTTCGTAAAATAATTGGGAAATGTGGGCCGAGCCACGTATTATTTCCCAGCACTAGTTATATTAGAGTATATAGTAAGTAAATAAAGATGGAGCCATGGAGGGGGGAGGGCACAAATAATACTCCGTATATCTTAACAAGTACGGAGTAGTAATTTGTAACTAGGGACGGCCATCAAGTGGTGGGCTCGATTCAAAGTCAACCCATACTCCTCGGTCATGTCCAAGTCTTGGTGGCTACGTGTGGCGTCTGCGTTTTTGGGGTTTGGGAGATCCCAATCAAAGCAATGGGCAAGTTGGGCAACCACTAGGCGAACCGTGGTTATTCCAAGCTGCAAGCCGGGGCAACTCCTCCTGCCCGAACCGAACGGGATGAGTTCAAAATGTCGACCTCTATAGTCCACACTGCTCCCCTCGAACCTTTCGGGCACGAACGAGTCGGGGTTGACCCACACGTTCGGGTCCCGCGTGATTGCCCAAACGTTGACAACGAGCCTGGCGTTCTTCGGCACGTGGAAGTCACCAACGGTACAATCTTCAACGGCGGCGTGAGGGAGTAATAATGGCACCACGGGATGCATCCGAAGAGACTCCTTTATGACCATCTCTAAGTATTTCAAGTGCTCCAAGTCCTTCTCCTCCACTACCCTACCAAACCCTACTTGTCTCCCAAGTTCTTCCTTCACCTTCTTCATTATTGTTGGGTTCTTTATGAGTTCCGACATTGTCCACAATATCAGTGTTGTGGATGTGTCCACCGAAGCAACCACCAAGTCCTACAAAACATTACACTACAAACGTTATGTTTGTTTGTCAATTGATTTCCCTCTCAATTGTATGTATATATAACAATATATGTAACATAAATGTCGGGATGATAAGAAGTACATTTAGTTTAGAGTAAATTCTATAAAAAGTCCCTAGTTATAGGCCATTTTACATATTTAATCCCTACATATCAAATATTACTAATTTAGTCCTCAATTATTATATTCATTTCCACGAATGGTCTTTTGTTAACATTTCTGTTAAGAACGTGGATAAAATTGTAAATTCACACTCCTTTCTCTCCACAATTAAGCTTCCTCCCTCCCCTCACACTCCTTTCCCAAACCTCTCGCTGAGTTTGAAACTTTGAACCCAAAACCGAAATCATCACTCTTCTCTCAATTGTTTGTCTAACAGGTGGAACCCACATTCGAAACTAGTAACTTTCATGGATGAGTTTAAATGTTTATTTTCTTTGCAATTTCCTGAGACTAACCGATAAAACTCATCAATAAAGCTTATTGGTTTTGATTATAGGTTCCACCAGGAAGACTAATAATTGAGAGAGGAATGATCATTTCTGTTTTGAGTTTAGAGCTTCAAACTCAGCGTCGAGTTTGGGAAAGAGTACGAGAGGAGGGAGGAAGCTTAATTGAGGAGAGAGAGAGAAGTATGAACATACAATTTTATCCATGTTCTTAACAAAAACATTAACAAAGGACCATTCGTGAAAAATGATATACTCCCTCCGTTTGAAAAAAGTGTTCCTATTTTGACTTTGTGTAAAAATAAGGAAGTACTGTATTAAATTGTAGTTGACTTCCAATTTTGCCCTTGATGTGATAGGTAAAAGTAAGATGTGATGAATAGATTATTAGAGATAAAGTATGATGTGATAGGCAGGGTATGAAAAAGTAAGGGTAAAAGTGGTTTTTTAATAGAAAGTAGAAGTGTTTTGTTGGAAGTGAAAAAAATAAAAGAGGAAGTGTTTTAAAAAATGGAGGGAGTATGTAATAATTAGGGACTAAATTAGTAATATTTGATATGTATGGACTAAATATATAAAACGACCTATAACTGGAGACCTTTTTATAGAATTTGCTCTTTATTTTACTTCCATCCTCCCCTAATTCATATTTGACACACAAAATAACATGTGTAGGGTTTAAGGAGGGATGGTAGAAAAATTACTACATCCGTTCCAAAAAAACATTTCTTGTATGAAAACGGATGCTCTTAAAAATATGTTTCCTTCCTCTCTTAAAATTGTTCCTATTTTGACTTTTACTACATTTAAGAAAATGGATATTTTCGTGTTGACTTTCCAAAAATACCTTTGATGTAATTGGTTGATTATTAGTAAACAAAGTATGATGTGATAGGTAGGGTAATAATTAGTAAGGGTAAAGTGTTTTTTAATAGAAAGAGGAAACACTTAGTAGGAACACTTAGTAGGAACGCTTTTTATAATCACACCCTTAAACCCCCCCCCCCCCTTCTCATTCGTGGCCCCCGCCGCCGCCGCCGCCGCGCCGTACTTCCTCCCAAAAAGCATCCTGCAAGTCATGTTCTCCACCATGGTTGCCACCTTGGCACTCAAGTCAACCACCGCCCCTGCCTCCGACGTCCGTTTGAGAGACTCTACGAGAAGACGCAGCTCCTCTCTTCTCAGGGACTCGAAAGAGCTCACCTTGTGGCCGCTGAGGAGCTCCACGATGAAAAGCTTGCGCATCTCCCGCCAGAGCGGGCCGTACTGGCCGAACAGCACGTCCTTCTTGCCGTACGTTATGTAGTCCGCGACCTTCATCGGCGGCCTGGTGGCGAAGTTGAGGTCGTGGGTCCTGAGGAACAGCTCCGCCGCCGCCGGCGAGGAGGCCACGATGGTGTCGGCGCTTCCCAGGCGGAGGCGCATGATGGGGCCGTGGATTTGGGACAGCTTTTGGAAATCCCGGTGAGGGTTTTTCCCTATCAAGTGGAGGTGCCCTATTATTGGGAGCCCCCTCGGACCTGGGGGCATCACCAACCTCTTCTTCTTCTTATTCTTCCCGTTTTCGTTTACGTGATCATGATCATGAACATTTTTCAAAAGGACTATGGCTGATGCTGCTGCAAAAACAACAACTACTACTACAAATGCTGCTGTCCAAACCCATGTTGTTAATGTACTGCACATCGCCATCTCTCTCTTCTACCCTTTTAATATTCTGATTGGGTTTTGGGCTCTTCTATGATTGTATGTATGTTCCACGCAACTTACTTAGGGGGTGTTTGTTTTTTCTGCCGGAAAAGGTCTGCAGTCTGCGGACCACTACTGTAGACATCTGCAGGAGAAGTGGTGGACCAAAGGTCTGCGGTCTGCAAGAAGAAGACTGTTTGTTTTTTAATGTCTGTAGACTGCTATATAAATTAATGGTGGTAGTGTACGGTGGTGGTGTATGGACGAT